TGCAGGGCTAGCTTGGGATATATAGTGAGTAGAAGGCCAGCCTGAACTACAGTGTGAGACCTTGTCTCAAACAGTGAAATAAAAATAAAAGTCCATTTGTCATACCAATTTACTGGACAGGATAGCTTAGCAACTGAGTACACTGTAGAGTATCAACTGTGTACGTGACCAGGTGGCCAACAAGAGTTGTAGCTTGCTGTCTTTCTGCCCATATTCATAGGAGTATTATACTGTCACCAGCTCAGGAAGATATAAAATGTCAAGATTTGAAGGACAGTTTCTTCTGAGTGTGTCCTGCTATCACACCATTGCAAGGCTAAAAAATTTTAAGTGAACTATTATAAACTTATGATAAAGAGAAGTCACAAAATAAAGTGGTAGAAATAAACTTGATTGTATCTGTAATCACAAAATATATAAATTGATTTAGCTATTAAAAGACAAAATGTTGATTTAATGAAGCAATGTTATAAACCATGTTAATAAGAAAAAAAATAAGAACATGATACAAATTGGTTGAAAATAAAGTGTCAATAAAAAGTACTTAGCTAGGGCCGAGGATTTAGCTCAGCGGCGTAAGTGCCTGCTTTGCAAGCATGAGGTTATGAGTTCGATCCCCGGGACCAAAAAAAAAAAAAAGTACTAAGCTAATATTAAGCCTAAAGTAAAATCTGAAAAATCCTCAAAGATGATGTTTCTAGTACGATCAGTTTTAGATCTAGTGTTAGATAGCTTCAATTTGTTCAGTACAGTTGTGTACAAGCACAGCAATAAACTGACTTGAGGACATTCCTACACTTAAGTTTTCTTCATTGTTGGTATCTTTAGGTTTTTGTTTAAATGTCAACATGTTTTTCTGACAATCTAATATAAACAAGATTTTTAAAGCACTTAATCTAAAGTCCCTTACTCTGGTGTGATAGGGCATGCCTGTAACCCCAGCACAAGGGAGGCTGAGACAGTAGGATCACAAGTTTGATTACACAGAGAGTTCAAGGCCAGCCTGAACTACATACTGATAGACCCTGTGTCAATAAACCAAAATAAAAAAAATTCCTTGTTATCCACTTATAAATCTTAATTCCTTCAGGATATAGTTACATATTGAAATACTTGTTTACTATTGTTTTGTTCAATAGGTAAATCATTAACTGCATGAAGGTAGGTATGTGTCTGTTCTGAAGATGCAACTGACTTAGTTTCTCACCAAGTTTTTACTGTAATGAAATCCAGGGAATACTTAAGTGTTTAAAAATGGAGCTGAAATACAATATACTTAAGATCTAGAGACAAGATATAGACTCTAAAATATTACAAGAATGGTGATGTTGGCCATGGATACATAGAGGGATTGTTGAAAGAACAAAGAATTTGAACAGTTAATTCCAGATGTTTCTTTTTTGGTCTTTTTCGTTTTTATCGGTACCAGGGATCGAACTCACGACTGCCTGCTTGCAAGGCAGGCGCTTATGCCTGCTGAGCTAAATCCCCAGCCCTAATTCCAGATGTTTCTAAATTAACATCCTTCTTCTTCTTGAGCACAATCTTTTGCTCTCATAGTTGTTTTAAGCTCTGCTTTTGTAATTTGTTCTACTAACTAAAACAAACTCATTAGAAACATGGGATGATACTGAAATCAGAAGGATCAGCTATAGAAATGACTAGTAGAAATTTGAGCAAAATATCCCAATTCCTCAGAAAACTGAGCTGATCCTTTTGTCTTACTGATATAGTTGTGTCTGCCCATTAGTCCAAATCATAGACCAAGCTGGCTTCAAACCAAGAAGACAGGCTGACCGCTGGGGTAGTGCCAACTCAGGACACCCATCAAGTGGTCAAGGCTGGGTCCGGTCTTCATGTTGCAACCACTGCTTCAACTGCAATTTGGCAAACCCAAAGTGTTACACAAAAATTAATACACTGAAGCGAAATTTTAAAAAGGATGCAAATGTACCCAGCCTCCAGCCCCTAAATATTAGGCACCATATGGGGCATTTCTTATGTGACTCTTTTTTTCTTTTCAGTGGAATTTACAAGCTAGATAAACTTTTTTTTGTTTTCTTTTATTTTGTTATACTTTAAAGAACACTCAGGAATAAGAAAGTATATTCTAAGTTTCAGGAATACAATACAATACAATCCATGTAAAATGCCAAATGTATAGCATTTGCCATTTGAAAGAATAAAAATATTTTTTGATATGACAACAGCTAATCAAACTGCTTAAAATTATATTATCTGTTGGAGGCTTTGAAGCCTATTACGACTCTCCACATGTGCAAAACGACCAAGGGAAAGCTTGGCCTGTAAGCCAGGAAGACCTGGGTTTGGTTTCTAGTATTGCTACTTACTAAATTTGACTTTGGGCAAAAACTCTCCAGGTTTCAATTTTCAGATATAAAATGGTAACATTACTTGCCTCATAGGGCTGTTTGCAAATTAAACGACATAATAAACTCAAGAAGTGGAGTTTCCTCCTCTTTCTGCTACTCTGACCTCTACAATCAATGCTCAACAGAACTCTCTGGGAAGACAGAAATACACCAGTCTGTGACCTGCGCTGCCTAATGTGGTAGCCATGTGGCTGAGCACTTGATTCGTAACTTTCCTCACCCACAAACTTGATTTTTAATTTCATTATTTTAATTGGCCATTTGTTGGCATCATACTGGACAGCATAACATGAAGCCATGAATGTTTCTTTGAAGCTTTAATCCTTAGAGGAGCCAAGGGAGGGTAAAAGAAAAACTGCCATAGGTTCTTTACAAGTGTATCTCTGAATGCAGTTTACTAGATATGATAGATAAGCTTTGTGGTCAAACATATCTAGACTACTTATCAGACTTAACTATGCTACTCAAGCTAATTTACCTAAACCTCAGATTCCTCATTCACAAGGCAGGAATATTTAACACCTTCACTGAGGAACTGGGAAGATTACAAATAACTTGATCTGATCTGGTATGTGCTTAACTAATCTTGATTCCTTCCCCCCCCCCCCCCCTTCATTGTTTCTGACTTGACCACACTTTCTTCACATGCTGGCCAAGTGCCTGACCTATTACTAAATTTAATATTGGCAAATGTAGTTCAGCAGCTGGCATTAACTATATTTGTTAGCATTAAATTTTAATTTATTTTTCTGGTCCTGGGAATCACACTCATGACCTTTGCACTTGCCAGGCAGGCACCCACTTAGCTGAATCTCCAGCTCCATACCTACTACTTGTAAGTTTTAATCGTGACAGACCATTTACTATTGGAGGCTGTCCTCTTCCTTAGCTATCTGCAAGATAGTGCACCAAGGTATATTGTGCGAGGAGGAGGACTAATACAATTCTTTAACACTTTGCTTCACTGTCAGTTTAGACAGGGCATTTGATCTTTTAGCCAAGTAAATTTCTGTATTAGAAGTTTAAACCTGTACACAATTCCTGATCATCAAACACAAATCTTAACACCAGTGGGGGAAAAGTGTTAACCAGCTATAAACTATTGTGTACTTTATTTGGCCTGATTAAATATTCTACTTTGGCCTTATCCTTTTGTCCCACCGGCTCTTAAGTAAATAAATAACAAAACTAGTATTAACCATTTCATCGAATATAAGAAACATTACATAACCATGGGAAATAATAAATTATCTATAACTTGGTTGTACTGAATTATGTATACACACACAAAATACAAACAATAAATAAATGTATCAACTCCAAAAATCTCATCTTATCTCTATTTCAATCAACAAACCAAAGTACTTGTAAAACCAACCACTGTACACCAAAATAATAAGTATGTATTTCCAAATGTCAATTAATCTCATGCATTATTAGAGTAAACCAAGAAGAAACCAACTTGTTTCCAGACTGCCACCTCCCTTGACTTTAAGGGTTGGATGTACTCTTTCCAATAAAAAGTCACTTTAGTTGTCTAAAATTATTATTCTCAGCATAGATACTTTTTATAAAAGTTTAGTATTATCATGGCAGAACCAACGATCACAACTGTGTTCAATTTTATGGGACGCCAACAAGTTCCATCAGTCTGAAGTTCATGTGCACAATCAAAAGTGTGTTATAACAACACTTGTAAAAGTCCTGGTAACTCAACTATCCTACTTAGTCGTGTGAAAGCACAGTTTTAAAAATCTTCAACTTGCAGAGGGGGTCTGAATTTAGTTTTTCTAAATCTTTCTCCTCAGTTGTGATAGGTTAACATACACTACCTATCTGAATGTTTGCCTTCTTACTCGGTATTTAAAAAAAAAAAAAAAAAAAAAAAAAAAAAAAAAACAGGGAAAGGAAAACTAAAAAAGACAGGAGTACTGGGTACAGAGCTCCACCCCAACCCTCTTGTCAGTTTTTAATAAGATCTGCATTCTGATCTGTTCTTATCCCACATATAGTGTTAATCTTGGAAGAATCTCTGAACCAAAACTAGTTTAATAAAGAGTCCGAGGTGTTTGTTATATGCCCGGAACACAGCCTGGGAGGGGGAGGACTTGAAACTTACGTGTGCCTCCCTGAACGTGGTCTTTGGGAGACTAGTGAGAGTTTTTTTTTAAAAAGGGAGATTAGTGGCAGAGAGGAGTAAAGAAATGAAAATTGTGCATTACAAGGCCTAAAACTTTACGTCTTTATCTCCTGCCCCCACTCATCCCAACGATCAGAAAGCTAAGAGCCAGCGTGACAGGCGACAATCCTAGGAGATCTGAAAAATTCAGCCCCAAGAAAAAGGTGCGAGGACAAGTGGGACGCGAGAGAGCTCCACGCTGGAAACTGCTCTTCGGGCGTCCCAGGGACCCCGACTTCTGGGGCAAAGCCCGGGACGGCCACGGCGGGGGCGTGTGCGGGGCGGGGTGTCCCAGGTGCTGCAGCCAAGGCGCGGGTCTGGGCCACCAGACAACTGGGCCAAGTCACCCTGAGGCCGAGGGCCTCCCGGCCAGAAGGTGGGTCGTACTGGGGTGCAGGGTCTTCCCCTCCCCACCAACTCCTCCTCACCGGGGCCGTAGAACTTGCTGCCTTTGGTCACGTCGAAGACTTTCCCATTGACCGCCAGCAGGATGCGCGGGGTGCGGGACCCGTCGTACTGGCGCAGCTGTTCCAAGCTGAAGTCCCGCTTCTTCATGCGCGGCAGGGACGCCGCGGGGCTCTCCTCGCCCGACCCCGCGCCCGCACCCAGACCCCGCCGCCCCCAGCGCACCCAGAGCCGGTAGGCCCCCAGCAGCACCAGGGCCACCAGCGCCACGTTCAGCAGCATTTCCCCGCCCCCCGTCAGAAGCGCCAGCGCCGCCGCCGCCCAGCCGCCGCCTTCCGCTGCCGCTCCCGCGCCGCCTGGGCTCCCGCTGCTGCCGTCGCTGCCGCTCTTGCTGCCACTCCCCAGGGTGCCTAGCTTCAGGTCCCCATCACCCGCCGCCATCACTGCCCGCCAGCGCCTTCCTCCTACTCCCCGCCCCCTACCCTCCCCAACCCCACAATGGCCCCTCCCACCTGGGCCCCCTAGCCAATCGCGTGGGGGGAAGGGGCGGGGTCGAGCCTGCTCCTGATTGGGCGTTAACTGGGTAACGTCTCGGATCTCGTCCTCCCCTCGCTTCTTTTGCAGGCCGCGCTCGCGTGCGGCTCCCCGCCCACCTCGCCCCACATTTCCCCGCTCTCTTTCCCGGCCTCCACGCTGTGAGGTAGACGAGTAGGGCGGGACTGAAGAACAAACAGATGCTGTGGTCTCGCTGCCTCGCGCGCGCGCGCAAAGACCAGGGCGGGACAAGAGCACAGCGCGTGCGCAGGTTCCGGAGCGCCACGCGCTCACCCTTCCTGGGGAGCACCTCCGGGAGCCACGCGGAGCCGGTCCCGCTGTGCGCGTGCGCTGGGGCAGTCTCCTTTCCCAGGACTGTGTTCTCGCCCGCGAACTCCCGCCTCTGCCCTCGCTCCGCCCGGGAGCTCCACGTGCGTGGAGGCGGCTGGGGGGACGCATCGTGGAGGGCGCGGATCGTTGGTTTATCACAGGCCGGGACCCAGTTTTACTGCGAGGTGCAAACTGATAAAGGACGTGCGTGTCTGCCAGGGTCTCAGTCTCGCTGGTCGGGAGGCCGGGTGCGCCCGAAGCTCTGAAGAGGCCGGAGGCTGCCCTTTGCAATGGACGCTGTGCTGGGGACCCTGGGCCTCGGTGGTGGCTTGGGCCAGGGCTGTTGTTGCAGAATTTTCTTGGAGGATTTAGACTGCAGGTCTCGTTCCTAGTACCAAAATCGCCGCAGCAATTTTGTGTATGGGAAAATAAAATTCCTGAGCAGGTGACAGATCTGAGCCGCATGTGGGCACACCTGCTTCGTGGATTTGGGGCTGTGACAAGCTCTGCCGCCCTAGTGCGCGGGCTCAGGGTTCTGAGCATCCCCTTGCCTAAATATTGATGGCTGCTTGAGGGAGTGAGCCTGTGGTAAGGAACTAAGCAGATGTCAGCTGAAGAGTAACTGGGAAACCAGAAGTGCTCACCTACTTAAAGCTGCTTTGAAATAAGAAAACCATACGTGTTGTATTTCCCTGAAAAATAAGGCCAGGTCTTACATTAATTTTTGCTCCAAAAAACAATAGTGTTTATTTTCATGGGCTGTCTTTTCATACGTATATTTATTCATGTACAAAAATCTACACTTACTCAAATACAGTGCTGTCTACTGGAACAGTATCATGGCACACTAAATCCAGAGTGCTGGCCTGAATTTCTGTGGCTCCATTACCTGTAGGACCCTTGGCCTTCATCTCACATTCCAGCAAGAGTGCTGTCCTTAAATGAGCACGCTTGCCCAAGTACCCTGCTCTTAGTGCTTTGGCAAGACAGTGGTCAGTGATTTTATCCCATAAATGCTTTGCCCAAGTCATGACCTCTTGCAAGCTAGGCTTCACTAAGTTTCCATTAAATCATGTTAATTGAAGACTTACAAGACAGGAGTGATGATACAAATGACAGGAAAGCATGGTGGTCCACACAAAAGCGAGCAAATAGCACCAAAATTGAGAAAATAGTTCTTTATTTTGCTCTGGCGCAGTATGAATGTCTGTTACGACATGATACGTTGAGGTGTAAAGATTCATATTAGACACAGTCACGTATTTGTTATCAAGTGTGCAAGTTATTATTGTTCCCTCTTACAGCATCTGGCTGCATCCCTTCCACTTGCTATATTCAGCCCCACTCCAAGACGTTACTAATCTTACTTCCTCAGTGCTGGTGGACTTCTTTCCTTTCATACGTTCACATTCTGTTACTTTCCTATTTTTTTGTGTTTCTATCTCCACCTGAAATATGTGACCACGTTGGCCCATGCTGATTGTTTTCTTTGAATTTCTAAGGACTCCTTGCACATACTGTTCATTTTCACCTTTTATTTTATGCTCCTTGTAGCCATTCCATTATTGAAATGCACCGTGGGGTTCCGTATTTCTCCTTTTGCATGTATTTATGCTCCCTTTCTGACTGTTTTTCTTCCTTGTATCCTTATTGCTGAGAGGTACTCCACAAGCATTTGTCATTTGTATTGTTTTGTTCTACTCGTCCCCGTTTTTCCTCTACACTGGCTGTCATCTCTGTGGAAGGTGTGCCTCTCCAGCCCTAACTTCCCCAGCAGGACCAGCCACCTATGGTTTCCATTTCTCTTCCCACATATGTAGTACACTTGAAATAGACTTGGATTTCTCCATTCCTTTGACCTTAAACTTGACCAGTGGAATGTGCTCAAAAGTTACTTATATAGCTTCCAAATAAAAGCTTAAAGTGTAGCCCAGGGTGACCTCAAACTCATGACGATCCTACATCAGCCTCTTGAGTGCTAGGATTGTAGGTGTGCGCCACCACGCCCAGCAACCTTTCTAAATATTAATGGTTTAAAACAGTCACTATTTTATTCTCTCTAATGGTCTTGTGAGATGACTTGGCTCATGGACAGTTGTCTGATTTTGCTGTAGAGTCCCTGGTATAGTTCCAGCCTGCCTTGTCTGGAGCTTGAGTAATTAGGAAGCTCAAAATGCCTGAGCTTTTCTTGTTCCAGGGCCTCTTTTCTTCATGTAGCTTCTCCAATAAGGTGGTCTGACTTCTTACATGCTTGCCAGGACCTCAAAAGCATAAAAGCAGATTGTTTCAGCCTTTGTAAGGGCCAGGCCTGGAGATGATATATTCTGTATGTAAAAGTACAGTCAGTTAAATTCCATTTATTTATTTATTTGTTGAGATAGGAACTTGCTATGCAGTTCAGGCTGGCCTTGAGCTCACTTTGTAGCCTAGGCTGGTCTTGAATTTGCAATGATACTCCTGCCTCAGCCTCACAAGTACTGAGATTACAGGCATGCACCACCATGCCCAGTTTGGGTCAGTTCCGTTTTAAGGCAATGGGGAAATAAACTCTTGATGGAAGTTCAGGGAAAGTAACAAAGAATTTGTGGCCATGTTTACCAATCTGGCAAGATTTCAGATGGCAGCTGAGTCCATCAGTCAGGGTGGCAGCGTGAGCACAAGTGAGAAGGAACTCGGGCTAACACAGTTCCATGAAGGAGAAGTTTGTCTCCTTTTTTCTAAGTCACTGAGATCACTGGGGTTGTTTGGCATCAATTTTTCTGTACTAAAACAATAGGTGCTGGGTATAGAGTACAGCAAAAATTTAAAATACCAAGTATTGATATGCTACAAATGCCAGTGCTTGGTTTGTTTGGCAGGATCCAATTCTGATTTACGTATAAATTTTCCAGGGAGTTAGCTCGGGAATTTGCACCATGATAGTCAAGAAATATTTCTTAAATAAGAGCACATATTTCTTATAATTCCTCCTTATTTTAGGAGAAGCATTTGTTTTCCATTCCTGGTATTTCTTGGTGGAATATGGAAGATGTGCCACTAACATAACACTTGACACTATTCCAGGGCTACCAGCTAGTTTCCTGAAGTGTAAAGCCCACCTTCTTCCTCTCTCTTTTGTCTTGGCAGCCAATAACATGTGTTTTTTTCTTTCCTACCTCACACAAGTTTTATAATGCTTGCCCCTGCCAAGGGAGGCTTGGGTAAGCTTGCCAAAGTAGGCTCCCTGGTGGAAGGGAAATTTGTGGTTTTGGGAGTAAGTTCATTTTCCAAGAATGGTAAAACTTGTTATTTGACCTTTAATTCCCAAATTAAGAATTTAATGTTGGACATTTTAAAATTTTGCTTAGAGGCTAGAGTAATCAGGAGGCTCAACTGCCAACATGTCATTGACACCAATTTCTTTGGGCTGTGATTTAGAAGATAAAATGATTTAATCTTGAGCCAGATATGATGGTTTGTACCTATAATCCCAGCATTTGGAAGGCTGAGGCAGGAGAATTGTTGTGAGTTTGCCAGGTGGGTGCTGTGCAGGCCCTCTATCATTTTTTCTGCAAAAAAATTGTTTATAATTTTTTAAATGTCCTAAGATCATTTGGTTCTAGGTTAAAAATTTATTTTTTTGATTATTATATAATAATTATTAGTAAGATATAACTGAGCATGCCTACATTACAAATTTTTACAAATAAGTACTAAAGAGAACTGAAATTTTATTTTTTTTTAGCTTTCTTTTTTTTTAATTTTATTTAAGGAGAAAAGAAAAGAAAAAAAAACAGTGAAGGGGTACAAGTTATACAGATTTACAGAAGAAAAAAATGTGCAGTAGGAGGTCACTAGTTAATGGATTACATATTGCCATCTTAGAAATAATTGTTCAAGTCACAAAATTAAAGCTTGTAGAGTGGACATTCCAACAATGATACTGCAAACAGTTCTGTTCACTGATCTAATAAAACTCTGTGATATCATTTTCTATCTCATACATTTAAATATACATGCAGTTATATAGTTTAGAGCACTTTCTTTTCCTCTCTTTTGTACTGTGACTATTACACATTTTGGGTTTCATTGCTCCCACAGTTCTTATTGCTTTTTTGGAAGAGAGTAAAACCAAATGTGACATAACAGAACCGAATCGGTCAAGTCAAAAGGGTGGATATAATAGATAACATAAAAACATAATACAAGGTGATCAACAATGGTTACCATAATGCCTCCCGCTATTTCTAATAGAATTGCCTATATCATTAGTTGTAATACAATTGAACAAAACAGTATAGAATAAAACCGACAAAACCAAAACATTGGAGATATTGTAGGTCTTCAAAAGTAGATAAACGTCAACGAGAATGGGCGTTATAATGAATCTCATTATCTTCTCAGCTGATGCCTAAACTTTCGAACCTGATACTATCCAGCAAAACAGAATAGAGGAACCTGAGTCAAAAACAAGATGGTGAGAGTAATACAGGGCTTCAAATCGAGATAATAGAAAGTCATAGTGGGTTACTATATTATATCCTGCTATTTTTCCCTTTAATTAAACCGATAAAAATAAAAAAGTAAATAATGGAGTGGAGATTGAGAAAAAAAAGAGGGCATAACAGCGAAACAGGGCAGATCAAAACATAACCATTTAAGCAGAATAGTGTTTCACCACCAGATATTTCCGACCCAAAAGTAGTTACCATATTGACTCTTTCCTTGAAGTCCTTGAGTACAACTTCGTATACTGTAGCATTAAGTATATCAAAACAATGTAAAACCATTTAAGAGAATGACAGCATTATAGAGTATTTAGAATCGACTAACAGAAAATGCACAATGGTTTCTGTATAGTCTCCTTGTCTTTACAAGGTTTTTGCTTATACTATCGTACATAATAAAATCCAATAAGATACAACCTGTTTAGACCATTGGAGACAGAAGAACAAAAGCTAGATGAGACTTCAAAACAAGATGGTACTAAATCAGTATTACCTATTAAGATGTCATTTTCTCCAAAATAGCTGTTCCTATCATCCAATCGTCTCTGTCTCATTTCTGTTGAGCTCTGTTTCTGTCAGTAGCTGTCAGTTTGTCTTCTTCATTTTGTTCTCTGCTCCATTCGTTGTAGCCTCCCCGCCACTATTTCTGGGTTCTTTGTATTTTTCTTTTTTTAGAATATCCTGCAATACTTTCTGTAGGGTTGAATTGGTGGTTGCAAATTCCCCCAGTTCCTCTTTATCCTGGAAGCACCTCGTTTTTCCATCAATTTCCAGGGACAGTTGTGCAGGATATCTCAATCTTGGCTGGAGATTATTATCTTTCAAAGCTTGAATTATTTCCCCCCATGCTCTTCGTGATTTGATGGTTTGTGAAGAGAAATCTGCTGTAATTCTGATGGGTGTTCCCTTGTAAGTAGTCTGTTTCTTGTCTCTTACAGCTTTTAATATTCTGTTCTTGTATTGAATTTCTGGAATTTTTATTATTATATGCCTGGGTGTTTCTCTGTTAGGGTTGTAGGTAGCTGGGGTCCTGTATGCCTCATACATCTGAGTATCTTTACCTTTTGCTAAATTAGGAAAATTCTCCTGGATTATTTCTGTGAGTAGCTTTTGTAGTTCACTTGTTTGTGTCCCTACTTCTTCTTTTATGTTCTTAATCCTTAAGTTATGGCTCCTCTTATCATCTTCTTGTCTTTGTATTATTGCTGTTTGTTTCTTTGTCATTTTTAAGAAGTTTTTCATTTCATTCTCCCATATTACAAGTCTGCCCTCCAGTTCAGATAGTCTGTCCTTAGTTTCTTTCAAGCTGTTATGCCAGTCTTCGATAGACTTCTTAATTTCTTGATAGTCCCTTTGAACCTGCTTCACATACTCAATGTTTTCTCTGTTTTCTCCATCAAGCAATTCTCCCCTCTTTTTCTGTTCTTCCATTCCACCATCTGTTTTTTCCTGGGTGGTGCTTAGCATTTCTCTAACTATTCTGCATACTTCTAGCTTCAGGTCGTTGATAACTTCATTCCTGAATTGGTCTATGAGGCTCTCTAGATGGCGCTTAATGTATATTGGTGCGGTGTCCACTATTGCCTGTTTCTCAGGATTGGGGGCCGAGGAGCCTTTTTTGTTGCTTCCCTTCCCCATATTTTCTCTTCCTTATAAAATGCAAGCTTACAAAGGAAGCCCGGCTTCCCTGCCTGTCAGCCACAGCCTGATCAAATTGCGCTGGCTAGTTGTTCCCGCCCACCGCTGCGCACCAGGGGGTCGCGGAGGAGGCAGCCTACGCGGGAGTTGGTCGCTCCTCCGGGCCACCGTCAGGCTCTGGGATCTGGGTTAGGCCAGCCTAGGGAGTCCGCCAGCAGCGTCACTCAGGCCAGGGACTTTTCACCAATCCAGTCCAAGAGGGGAATGTGTGGCTGGAGTTGCCACGGCGCCCTGCTCTTACAGGACTGCCCGAGCCCAGAAAAACCTCTGCCGGAGTCAAACTGTGGTAGGGGCTCAGTTTTCTCGCTCACCTCTCCACCAGTCAGTTTTCGTGTACGCCTTCTTGTCCGTCCTGTTTTCGACTCCGTTCGCAGACTCCCGTTCCCGAGCTTCTGCGCGTCTCTCCTTGCCGAGCCGCTTGTGGAGGCAGCCAGCCGCCGGGCGGCGGGAAACCCAAATCGCAGCGGGATACCCAAATCGCGGTTTCCAATGGCGCGTAGTCGAGCCTCCACACCGAGCCTTTTCTGTTCCTATTTTAGCGCCAGGACTATATTTTAAGTTGGTGTCTCTCAGCCCAGTTCGTTCCTGAGTCAGCAGAGCATATCTCTACTGGTTCGTGACTCCTTAGTCCGCATCATTCCTGGCCTCTGAGCCGAGTCTTCCAGAGAGCCTTCGGTAGTTGCTGTTGTCTGTCCGCCATGTTCTCCTCCTCTTTGAGAACTGAAATTTTATTAGAAATATGCCCAAGAATTGAATACAGTTTTTCTCTCCCCAGTTAGCTCGTGAGTATGTAGGTAAATATAACCTTTTGCTAGAAGACAAAATAGGAAAACATATTAGGGAACAATTAGGTGCAAGGCTTACCAAAAAAAAATGGAAGAAGATTGTTGTTAAATGCTTTATTTACAACAGAAAACTAAGTCCTACATCAATGGTAGGAATGAATAAAGAGATGGGGAATGGTTAACAAGTAACAATGAGCAGATTTGTTTGGGTAAAGAATATGGATTTAATGTGTTCAATGATCTCAGCAAAAATTAATGAAACATTTTCTTGTACAAGTTTGAATCATTGTTCAAGAACATGAAGAATATTGATGTACCACTACTATACATTCTTCTCTTACATAATATGAATCTATTTGTAAGGAAATACGGAATTTTTCCCCCATTTTTTCCTTGAAATCGTATGCAATGTGCGGCTGAGAAACAGGAGAATGAGATTTTGCGTGAGGCGTATTCTCATTACTCAGCACATGTGCCTTGCAGCTGATTAGTATTTCCCAGAATGTTTTTTGCAAATCTTGCATTTTGAATGCTGAGATAGTGAAGCCTGATAGCTGACTGTGACTTTGTTACCTGGATAAAGCAGGGCTCAACTTCCTTCAGTATTTCTTTTCACTGTCAAGAACCTTCCTTTACATCAGCAGGAAATGGAAAAGCAAATCACATTAGACAAGCATTACAACTCCCCCCATCTCCCAGTGTACTGGCGCTCAAAACACCCCAACATAGACCAAAATGCCCAGTTTTTAAAAAATGCTTTCTTCTTAACTGAAATATGTATAAGATAAGAAGGCTAGGAAATCCTCCTGTAGGTATATTATGTCCTGATTAAATTAAATATTGATGTCAGTATTAGATTTTTTTTTGCATGCCTTAGAGGTGTTTTTGCACATTAGAGCAATTTGCCGCAGTAAGATCTGCATTGCGGGTGAGGAGGCCTATCTTTTATGTGTGAGAAAAGAAGGATTTTTGAAGGGAGTTGGAAGAATTGAATTGATGTGACATCTTAATCTCAGTCACATTTCAGACAGCCTCATTTTGGGAAAGAGTGGGTAAAAGCTGGATAAATGGAACTGATTTCCTTAAAACTATCTGAACGTAGGTTGTCCTTGGGAGGTACTCATGGAATCCCAAGGTAGACTGCAGTGTGAGCACTAAGAGAAGAAAATTAGTGGAATGTGGCGTAGTTGTGGTGGGCCACGTTAACTCTGGTCACTCCTTCCTCTTCCTCAGAAGATACTTGAGTGAGAGACTTGGTTAGAAGCCTTGGCCCCTGTGGCCTATCTTATTCTGGGCCCAGGCTGCTCAGGAATCATGCCTTTTGGTTGGCTTCTTTGTGCTTTGTACAAGGATGACAGTGTGGATTGAGAGGAGGACAGGTTTGTGGTGGACTCAGTCATGAGTGTATCTAGTCCTGCAGTTTAGTGTTGGCAGGCTCTTTCTTGCCACAAGTTTCCAGCATCAGCTTATCAATAGTGGTGATGCTTCTAGCCTGTCTACTCTTGCCTGTTTACAGCTGGTGTGCAGCTTGGTAGGGAAAAGAAATGTGCTATAGTGAGTCTCCTAAACCTTAAACACTCAGTCCTTCACAGGACTCACAATGCTGTGAGTTTTCCTGAATTCTCTTACCCATGAAGATACAGTCAGTGCTACTTTCTTTCCTAAGACTTGATATGTATTTTGTAGATTTGTTCATAGTAGTAAGTGTGGTTTATTTTCAAAGTGTTAATTTCTAAGGGATTCTTCTGAGTAATATATATATATATATATAAAACATCAAAAAAGTTAATTTCAGGAGAGAGCAAATAGCTCCAGCTGTAAATTGTTCTTCAAGATATAGTACTATTGCCTTAGTTTAATGCAAAATAAACTGTTTTTGATCATCTACAAGAAATTATTGTCACTCACTAACAGATTTGTACTGGCTTTACTTTGTTAGGGTCCCTGAATGTAAGTTCTGCTGTAGAATCTGATTTCTAATAGCAAGCAGGTACAGGAATTTCCCATGAGAAGACCAAAAAGATTGTAACTTTAATTCTGTTTTTCTCTCTTCCTATGTCCAATCTAACATTGAATTCTATTGACCTCCAAGATTGACACCATGCCCACATCTATCATCCTAGTTAGATTTCAATCTCTCAGCAATCACCACCTTTCATTTGAACCTTGGCAATAATTTCTTGCCTGGCTTCTTGGTTTCTACTCTTGCCTTCTTGGAATTTGGCATATGTCAGCCATATAAATTGGACTCTATCCTCACAATGTCTTTCCCTGGCAACTAGAATAGAATCCAAACTCCTTGTCCTGGTCAGTACAATTGTTCTATACTTTTCCTATTGAATGCTCTCGAATTACTTTCTTTCACAGTGTTCCAGTCATATTGATTTGCTATCTTCGTTTGAATAGTCCAAGCTCATTTCTAGCTGAGAGATGTTGCATTAGCTCTTCTGTAGACTTGGAATTCTCTACCTTCAGAGTTTTTCATGGCTGACTTGTTCTCAGGACTTAAGGCTCAGCGCAAAAGTCCACTTCTCAGAGAAGCCTCATTCTGACTGTGTCTAAAAAGCACTCATCCTCTCCTCCAGCTTTACTGCTGTCGGTTCCACTTAATTTATTTTCTAGCATTTAGCTAGAAGTTTACTATATTTACATATATAGCTAGCATTTAGCTGTGGTTCGGATCTTTAGTATTTCCCAAAGGCCTGTGTGTGGAAGGCGTGGTCTCCAGCCTGTGGTGCTATTGGGAGGTGGAGGAACCTTCAAGGGGTGAGGCCTAGCGGAAGGAAGTTGGGGTGGGGAGGCAGTATCCCTTGAAGGGGGTTTGGGACTCTGGCTCCTTCCTGTTTCTCTCTTTGTTTCCTTTTGCAATGAGAGGAACAGGCTTCCTGTGCTATGACGCATAGTGCTGCCAGAGACCCAAGGCGACAGGGCCAAATGACCATGGATTGAAACCTCTCAAACCATGAGCCAAAATAAACTTTTCTCCCTTATAAATTATTTCATGTATTTTATCATAACAAGCTAACAACCCGTGTCTGTTAGCCCTCAGTAGAATGTGGTTCACTGTGGAAGGGCTCGTCTGTCTTGTTTCCTGACGTACGCTCAAAGCTTAGCGCAGAGACTGACGTTCGGTGGGAATTATTAAGTATGTGTTTGCTGAATGAATAGATGAATCAAGATCCTGATGTACCCAGAAAATGCCTCTCAGAAGCCTTTAAATTAGCAGCTTTGCCATAGTTCAGAGCTGCATCCCTTTGTTTTGAGCACACAGAAATCTGATTCAGCCAACACACAGAAGTTTGTTTTTTGTTTTCCTCTAGGGCAGGAATTACATTAACCAAGATGTGAAGCTGATGTATAAAAGCTCTATGTCAGTTATCAGTTTTTACTGAGCAATCTACCTGTCATGTGAAACCAGACTTGTACTGATAGAATCTGCTGGAAATTTTCTGTATGTGGGCTGACATACATCAGACAGGGAATTTAATCAGACAGTTTTTTTAAAAACAAAGAAGAGAGGGAGTTAGTTATATGGCTTGTGTATTTAAAAGCATTCATTTATTTAAGAATGTGATGCCTAGTTTTGTTTTCTGTGCAAGGTACTGAAGTGTCAAAAGGAATAATACCAAGTACCAGGGTTTAAGGATCTCCTGCCTAGTTCGGAGGCTGATCATAAACTCACAGCTATAAGTCTATTGTAATTAGACTAAAAAGTATTCTCTTTGGTCTAGTTTCAGGTGATATGGGAGACTCAGAAAATAAGCTCAAGGCTGAGGTTGTAGCTCAGTAATAGAGCACACGCCAGGCCCTGGGTTCAATATACCACACTGGAAATACAAGGTGGGGAGAGGTGTAAGTGGGAGAACTGAGGTTTGGGGCATTCAGTGAGCCTCCCCAGGAGGCAGGTATTTTAACCGAGATGAGGAGTTAGCTAGGAATGGGGATAAACAGAGTTCAGGGCAGAAGCTGGTGTGGTGGTACATACATGCTTATAATCCTAGAGTTTAGGAAGCTGAGACAGGAGGATTGCCTTAGTTTGAGGCCAACCTGGGCCACATAGTGAGTTCACAGCCAGCCTGAACTACAAAGTGAGACCTTGTCTTAAAAAACTAAAACGTGGGGTGGGGGGAGATATGGAGAGAGAGAGACAGAGACAGAGGGGGGAGGGCGGGGGAGGGGGAGAGGGAGGGAGAGGGAGAGAGAGGTCAGGGTGAGGAAGGGCACTTTGGGCAGAAGCTGCAGTCTGAACAGAGCTTTCTAAAGCTCACAGACAGCTCACTGTGGGTGTAGTGAAGAATTTGAGGCCGTGTTGGGGTGAGGAGATAGGACTTGTGGATTTAGGTTTGGACTTTATCCTCATAACAAGCAGAGCGAGCAACTGAAAGTTTCTGTTTGGCTGGGAGTCGGAGTTCATCTTTCAGGTCACCAGATTACAGCCAATACTTTGCATTCCGTTCTTCCATAAACTTTCTGTGGACGATTGAGTAATGTCTGTGCTCCTGCTCCGGGAGCATATGACCCTTCCGCTTCACTCACCAGACTCCCAAACAATTACTGGACTACATTACATACATATGTATGTATTAGAGCATCTTTATCTGCTGTTCAGGCTCATTTGGAACTCTGGCCTCAGGCTACCCTCATGCCTCAGCTTCCCCAGGAGCTACGACTATGATCATGCACACTGTACCAGGCTTGAATTATTTTTCTAAATAACAAAAGCAGTAGACATTCTTTGCAGGAAGTAAAACAGCACAGAGATGTGGAAGCAGAAACTTTCTACTTTCCTGTCACCATCATTGATACACAGCATGCTGTTCGATTTGTGCTGTCCTTGTCCCCTCCAGCAGCATACTAGGGACGCCTGCCAGCTCTTGCTAGAAACTAGACCCTGTGCTTCATCTCATATACCCTGAAACCATGATGTGAAGTGGTTACTGTTATCCCCGTAAGCAGACAAGGACCTGATAGGTATCTGATTTGTCTTGAGTCATGCAGCTGGTGACTGTGAGCAGCAATCGGAACTTGGGTAATCTAACTTCCAGAAGTCAGAGTCCAAAGTGGTGCCACTGCCTTCTGTCTCACAAATAATGCTGCTTTTGTTCTTTTTAATAACTGCACAATATTCATATGGGTGCTCAGAATTTATTTACTCACTTCCCCTATTAATGAATGCTGAGGGTTTTTTCTACCACTGCATAAAACACCTTAATACATGACTCTGCAAAGTGAGATTGGAGGTCAAACACACGCCTGTTTTTATCAGACATTACTGAATCGTATTCCAAGCATTCTTACACTCCCAAGTGACAGAGGACATTAGCTGTTTCCCTTAACCCTGACTAGCTCTGGGGGATTCTGATATACTTAATGTACAATCTTTTTTTCAGCAGTATAACTTTTGATTTGCATCTTTCTTGACTGCAGGTGAGGCTGAACATTTTCAGTGTGATTGTGGAGTGCTTGCATTTTCTGATCCTTGTTCTTTGTTTGCTCCTTTCTTTCTTTCTTTCTTTCTTTCTTTCTTTCTTTCTTTCTTTCTTTCTTTCTTTCTTTCTTTCTTTCTTTCTTTCTTTCTTTCTTTTTGTCTTTTTGAGACGGAGTCTCACTATGCAGTTCAGGCTGGCCCTGAGCTCACTTTGTAGCCCAGGCTGGTCTCGAACTCACAACGATCCTCCCACCTCAGCCTTCTGAGTGCTGGGATTACCAGTGTGAGCCACCAGGCCCGGCTCAGTTTGCTCATTTTTTTTCCTGTCCATTTTCTTCTGGTGGGTTGTTTGTCCTTAACCATTTTTGGTGGAAAAAATGAGGATATTTGTAGTTATAGTAATCCTTTTTCTTCTCTTTGTCTATGTCTACTGACCTTTGGATTTTCATTACGGTATCTTTTACTTTAGAGAAATGTTTAATTTTTATATGACCAGGCCTGCTGGTTGTTTCCTTCATGACTTTGCTTTCCTGAAATTGAAGGGTCTGCGGCATCTCTTCCTTAAGGACTGGGACGGCCTGCCCAGATTCTCCCTGGAGACTGCCTTATGCGTTTTGATAGTATCTGTCTCAGGCTCTCTTGTTTTGGGATCTATTTAATCTCCTGGGAGATCTGGCTTTTATGAGAATTGTGACATTTAACTAGATGAAAGCAAAGCCTGTCTAGTCTGAAAGGCTTGGGTCAGTTATCAAAAGTGTTTGCACGTCTTTGCTCTGACCCACTCTGTGTTAATTTTCTTTCTGTCTCCTCACTTAAGGGGGCAGTTATGCTTCTATTTAGGTTTATTTTTGAACCATCTTGAGCCTCTGAGTGCTTCTGTTTTTTCCAGGCAGTTTAGAGAGCTGGGATGCCCTGTGGATAAACTGGTAGTGGGAGGCCTTGGATTTGGGAAAGAGTTTGTGACTATTTTTGATCACACCTGTATAATCCTGGGGAAGTTGTTATTAGCCTTAGGGCTCTTTTCTATAAAATAGGGAAGGATAAGAATACTATCCTGAGGCCACTTTCTGAGACTATAAGAGAAGATTTTAAGTGTTAATTTAGGTGTTTCCTCCTGTTTGGATCTTATTTCAGGCTGTTTTAATGAGGGCAAATCTTCACAAATTACCTCAGTTCTCCTTTTGTTAAGCAAATTCTGTTCATTCACTGTCAGGCCATAAAAGAAAGATACAGCTTTTTGGCCTTTAGTGACTGGTCTCCTTTACAGAGTCTATGGAATTAACCGCCAATTTCATTACAGAAATAAGAGATACCTAAACTCTTAGTGGAAATTATATTTGGGGACTTTTGTATCAAAAGTGGTTCAGAACCAGTGAACTGAGGGAGGATCATGTGTGATTTGGGAATGGAGATTGAAGGAAAGGGTATGGCCTGGATTTAGGTGGATTTTTTAAAACTTTGAATTTTTTGGTTTAATTAATATATTATAGTTGCATATATTTATGGAGCACAATGTGATATAGGTAATTATAAGAGGACTAGTAACATATCCATCACCTCACATGCTTTTTATAGTGAGAATATTTAAAATCTGTTCTTTCAGCAATTGTGAAATATACATTATTGACTAGAATTAATGCTGAATAATTATCATGCAATAAATTTTAAAAATGTATTCCTTTGGTCTAACCAAGAATTTGTACGTTTTGTCCAATATTTCCCATATTTCACCCCTAGAACCACCATTCTGATCTCTAGTTCTATAAGATCCATTTTTTTTTTTAAGATTCTACACGTGAGACCTTACCGTGCTTGTGTTTCTCTGCCTCAGTTCACCTAACACTATGTCTTCCATGGTCATCCATTTTGTCTCAAATGACAATTTCTTTTAATGACTGAATAATATTTCATTATGTATACATACATATATATTAATCTATCCCTTCTTTTAATAACATTTAGATTGGTTCTATTTCTTGGATATTGTATATAGTGCTACAATGAACATAGGAGGGTAGATGTCTCTTTGACATATTCATTATTGTTTAAATATGAAGTGTTCCCCACTGTCTGGTGCATTCAGGGCTTGAATCCCTGAGATTAACTCAGATTGACCTGATCAACTGATAGTATGCCTGGATGGTAGGTACTACCTAGATAGTAGGGAACTAAATTTAGGGGACTTGGGGGTAAGTGCTATAGTTGAGAAACTTCTAGAAGTGGTTCTCAGGAGGAGAACCTATGTCTGACCTGATGATCTGCTTCATTCTTTGCATCCAACCTTCACATTTGAGGCAGGATGGCCCTGCTCTTAGACTTGCATTTGATAGCCAAGTAGAAAGATGACAACACAACACAAACTCCTTGCTTAAGTCTTGCTGACCTTTGTATTCAGGCCTTGTCCTTCCTGCGTACACAGGAATTAAAGTTAACTAATATATTTATATTTGAGTGGTATGTGTAAGACACTGTGTGGGAGGGAGGATGGGAGAGAGAAAGACAGATAGACACTGGGGAGGGCAGGAGGGAGGGGGAGAAGGAAATACATATGTAAGGCATCACCCTCCCATTGCAGAGGGTACTCACCAAATGTCTTGGAAACTGTGCAGATTAAGTCAGCCAAGAGGCTTTGCCTGTGTGAGCAAAACAACAGAGTAAGTAGGACAGAAAACTAAGGTGTACTCCGGCCATCAGACACTCCACCATGGGAGTAAAAATACCCTGTGCCAAGGGAGCAGCCCATGCAACGATCCACTCCACCACAGGGCTCCTCAAAGTATGGTCCCTGGACCAGATCAGAGGATCAGAGTCACCTGGAAACGCGTTAGAAAATACATTATTAGACCTACCCAGATGTACTGGATTACAAACTCTGAGTGGGTCCTCTAGTTTATATGTTAGCATCTTTTTCCTTGGGGTTGAGAACTACTGATCTAACAGTGTTACCACATAGGATTTGGAGCCTAGTATAGATGATTTATCATTTCAAGAGAAGCTATAAAACTAAAATTTTGCTGTGACCACCTTGGACAATTCAGCAATTTTGTGAGATCCTTTTTCAAAACGGGGAGGAGTCTGGGAATTAGCTCCAGTGTGAAGGCCCTGTGTTCAATCCCCACTACTGGAATTTGGGGCAAAGGAACTAAAATCTCATGGAAATCTAAGTTTTTAAATACACACATTCGTTTAATGACCGAGTTTCACTCCAGTGACTAGGTTGTTAAATGAGAAATTGTATGCAGTATGTACATTGTAATATTCAGAACAAAGCAATGCTCAAAGGAAACAGCAACTTGATGATTTTCCTTTTATATGCACAACTCTTGCATGTACTACTGTAATTTATAACAGAAAATAAAACTACTGTAATGTACAGTACAACCAGAAAAGATTACAGTATTATACATATAAGCTATACTGCACAGAAAAAGACATTGGGCCTCTATAAGTGAGATATATGGAACTGTACAAAAAAAATAGGGGGTTAGCTCAGTGGTGTAAGTGCCTGCTTGGCAAACTTGAGGTCGTGAGTTCGATCTCTGGCACATACACACACACACACACACACACACACACACACACACATCTGAACAGTGAGTCTCAGTCATAAGTATGAGCAGTCATTAAACAGGTAGGTTATTAAATGACAGATATCTGTGTTAGAAATTCTAGATGGTATAATTTCTTTAGAGATGGTATAGAAATTCTAGATGGTATAATTTTCTTTAGAGGTGAGAAATAGGAAGAAGTATCTGTATAGGCCAAATTTCAGGCCATGAAAGGCACATCTGTAGGTCTTATGGCTGTAGGCCTTCAGTTATAGCTTATAAGAGAGTAATCAAGCATCTGTCTCATTGATGGGCTAGAGGAATGATGTTCATTGTGTGTGTGTTTGTGTGTGTGCGCGCACATCTGTGTGTCAGCCAGACAGAAGAGGGCTCCTAAGAGCAGAGCAGACTCTGACCCTTCCCAGCACGGGTGCATCCCCGCTTCTCCATGGTGGGAGTCACATCACCCTTCCCCTTAGGGCCGGAGCCTTCCTCAGCTGTGACCACGAGGAGGAAACAGGCTCCCATCACTGTTTTCAAGCACTCTGCTTTATAAACTGCTCTCACAGTTTGTTCTTTCGTCAGCTCCTCCCTGCATTGTGCGACAGCTATGGCAGGGACTGTCTTCATTTAGAACTGATGTAATGGTCTATGAGAGGTTCACTAATTTGCCTAAGGTCACACAGCTTGTAAAGCACAAATAGACTAAGTACCTAATACCTAATCGTATCATTGCCTACCTAGCTATTTTCTCCCATATACAGTTCCGTGTATCTGTCCTGACACCTTTAATTCCTGCAGGGACCTGATAGGGCTCACTCCACTATGACTGGTGACTGGTTGTCAGTGTGGTCCTCGTCACATCCTGGCTCCAGCATGTGCCCTCCCTGGCTTGGCATGCTGCCTGCAGCGGCAACTCTTCTTCCTTTTGTATCCTGTGAACTTCCCAATGACAGTCACTCCTTTCGGAAACTCTGTTGTCAGCTGCCCCTGGGTTCTGACAACCCAGAGTGCCTGGTCTCCTTGTCTTGCTACCCAGTGAGCCTTGGTGGGACACTGATTGTGGAGCTCTTTTCTGTACAGCGAATATATGGCCCAGGCGTCAGTCCTCTGGAGCTGGACTGAGGGTCCTGACTCATTTTACACAGGCTGCCGAGCTGCTGTCAGAGCACGGCTTTCTGATGTGGTACCTGTATATTAGGGAAATCAGAATTTAGTATTCTTCATGCTTTTCCTAGTCTAGTTTACAATGCCTCAGGCATGCATCCAGTACTGCCAGAGGTATTTTAGTTGGTTGGCGTTTCTGGGGCCTGGTAAGTACCACTTTGATAAATTGTAGTGTGTACAGATTGTGGGGCAGGCTGCCTTTGACGTGTCTTTTGGAGGGGCTGTTTCTTCTGTGTCTGTAAAGCACCAGGTGCCAGCAAGGGGTGAGTGGGAGAGCTGGTTGTTGCTGGGTATCGAGGTATTTACAGCGAGCGGGTCCTGCAGGTAAAGCATATAAAAATCTGTTTCTTCTCTTTCCTCATCTTCATTCTGAACCATCCCCGTGATGCACTGGGATGTGTCTTGAGAAAGGATGGAGAGAGGGGAGCTAATGATTATGAAAACACTGGAGTACAGAAATATCTTAGTACAGCTCTGCTACGGATATTTGAAGGAGGAAATGGAGGAAGTGCTTATTTCAAGAACCTAGTTTGGCCCAGGATTGGCTTTGATCACAATTTTTAAAGCCATTTTTTTTGTGTGTGTGTCTTTTTCCTTATTATCGGTACCGGGGATGGAACTCATGACTGCCTGCTTGCAAGGCAGGCGCTTGTGCCGCTGAGCTAAATCCCCAGGCCTGATCACAATTTTTAAAAAATTATTTCAAAAATCAAAGATACCTGAGTACCCGTAGAAAGGTTGCGCTTCAGCCTTATCTAGGATGCTTCTTATCTTACTTGACTTAATTCAGAAACTACGCAAACATATTGAATAACTTGTGGTATTTTCTTTACATATAATGAGAGTCTTACTGATGTACTCATAGCCATTTTTTGCTGTTTTTCTATAGTGCAAATAGTCAAGTGAGAAGTGTTTTATGAAGTAAACATCAGTTTTACTTGATAAGACAGTTTTTTGAACCAGACCCCAGTGGGATCTCATGCTTAGGGTGGGAGGATCAGGATTTTCAGAAGAAATATGAATTCTCATGCATTGCCACACGTTTAGGGGCCTCTTTTAGTTTAACAATAAAATAATTTAGAAGCAGAGAGGAGATGATACATTGAGGGACAACTTTACCCAACAGAAATATTGAGAGCAAAGGATTCCTCAGTTTGTTCGAAAAAATACAGAAAGATATTTTAAATTTCACTTAGTGACCACCTATAAGGTAATTTCTTTGCCCAATTCAATACAGAGCTGTTGGACAAAAAAGTGAAGGCTGAAACAAGACTGTAGAAAAGGATAATTATAATTACATAATTATAATTATAGTGATGCCAACTCTATAACATGAAAGGGTAAGTATACAACACTAGTCCCCATATGAGAATCATAATGTTTAATTATGATCATGTCTCTAGATGTCTGTTGCTTCAGCATCTTGTAAGCTCTTACTCTCTGCCGGTCACCTTGGTAGGCGCTGGGGTTATACAGCTATGGATCTTGTCTTCAAGAGGTACGTAGTCTTTGTGGGACGGCCTCTGATGAAGAGCTGAGAGAACACAGAGGATAGGATCAAATCTAGAGCAGAGGAGACGGGATAGAGACACTATTAAGGAAGTTTTCTTGCAAGAGAAGAACCAGCGCATTTAGTATATGACACTGATGGGGAGCAGGAAGGCTTGGTAGCTGAGCAAACAAACTATGGTGTCAGGGGAGTTCAGATCCTGGTCCTGCCGCTTTCTAGCTGTGGGCTTCGACCTTAATACGATGTCTAGGTCTTGTTTCCTTAAATTCAAAAGGAGTAATAATGTCAAGCTCTTAGGTGGTTATGGGAATTGGATGAAACACTCAGAATACTCACACACAGACAGCCCAAGGTAAGTGCTCAGTACCGAGCGCTCTTGTATAATATGTAACAACACCAAAGCATGCTGCCTCTTCAAGTTCACGGCTTTTGCATAGATTCTGCCTATCTCTTCAAATGTTAACCATTTATCTAGCCTTTTTAATCTGTAAAATTCCTCCAAAATTCTTCAATATCCCAAATTGGTGCTTAAAGTACTAAAGAAATAATACGAAAATGCAAGTGGGAGAGATGATGCTTGAGCTGAAGGGTTGTGATGTTGTGGAACCAACGTACCCTGATGTAAGGAGTCTTTCATTTAAAATGCAAGAATGTTTCTAGATGGCAGTTTGGAGAATTCTTCCTGACACTAGGGAAGATAATCCCTAGAATTAAAACATATTTTTCTGTTTTTTCATTAGATATAAGGGTAAACCTAATCATCGCCTTCAACATAATGGAGTACTTTAAACCTTAAGTGAAAAATATAAAAGGAGAAATTTCTGTTTTTAATCTAAACTCTTTTTAGCAAAAATATTAACCTGACAAATTGTCATTCAGGATCTCTGTCTATACTGGAGAGTTAAGTGAAAGAACAGAAAAAGTCTTCTTGAACTTTGGTCCAAATTACAGCCTCTGCATTTTTTAAACGTTGGAAGGAATGTGAAAGTTCAGTTTTTCCTGCTGACTTGCACTGGAGCACCTGCCTTTCTTTTGCACAGTTATATCTCCTTATACAAATCCTTTGGAAACAAAGATCCTTAGCTCAGCTGTGACCAAACATCAAAACACCCAAGAGCTAGCTGGCTGTGCAGACTGAACCTGGCCAAACCTGCCTGAGAGCAGCTTCCTCCAGGACTTCCCGTCAGCTATGGAACAGCAGGTTCTCATGGATTTTCTTCTGGGCCTCTGTCTTTTCCCTTCTCTAGCTTAGCCACAATTCTCCCCTACTCTCAGACCTGGTGCCCAGTTCCTCCCTCTGCTATCAGCAATTCACATTCCCTCTCAGGAGCCTGTGTCCCCTGTGATAATTCCCCCAGGCCTACCCTTAGATATTTGTTCTTCTCCCTTTATCAAGACATGAAGGGAC